ACTTTTACTGTGAAACCTTATGGAAGGCCTATGAGATACTTGTTTCTAAGAGAAAAAAAGTTAGTGAGGTGTTGTGACATAAGTTCTAGGTGGGCCTTGAACGTTATCTTATTTAAGCCACAAAAGCCCCATCATATACATCCTATGTTATCTCCACTTTACAGAGGAGAAAATACCCACAGAAATTAGTGATTTGCCTGAAACCCGCATGGCCAAAGCAGTGAGACTAATTCTGGGCACAGCATCTCAGCCAGGATGTCTACGTGTGTGCCAGTTGTGGGCTCTGATTTTGAATTTCTCTGAGTTCCACCCTGACCATGTGGGGTATGTAGTTGAGTGGCAGAGGCTAAGAGCTCATCACCATCACAGTCATCATCACCACAGCAGTGGTACCCAACACTCTTCAGTGCTTTCTGTGGGTCGGGCTCTGTGCTAGAGACGGTCCTTGTGCTTGTCATGGATCCTCTTTGCAACAAACCTTGCAAGTACATCTGATTATTCTCTGTCACACAAGAGGCTCAGAGAGGCCACACCTACGAAGTGGCAAAATTTGGGATATGAAGCCAGGTCTGCTGCAGTGGAAAGCTCAGTGTCTTAAAAATTCAGTTTGTCTTTTGATGTCAGTGTTGAACCCAGTGCGTCCCATCCTAAGTATACTTGTGGCCACTGAGCTGTATCCCAGATTTGCTTTATTTATTTATTTATTTATTTATTTATTTATTTGAGACAGGATTTTTCTGTGTAGCCTTGGCTGTCCTGGAACTTGCTCTGTAGATCTGGCTGGCCTTAACTCAGAAGCTTCCATCTGCCTCTGCCTCCTGAGTGCTGGGATTAAAGTAGCTTAGCTGTCCTAGGACTTGCTATGTAGATTGGACTGGCCTTGAACTCACAGGTATCCATCTGCCTATGCCTCCTGAGTACTGATGGATGAAAAAAAAAAAGAAAGAAAAAGGAAAGGACATGACTGCTCCTAGGTATGGTAGAAGAGAAAGTTTACTGTAGATAAACTTTTAAAATTATTTTTAAATTTTATTATTTTTTAGGTATTTAAAACCTTAAAAATATTTTTCTTGTTTTATATGTATGTTTTGCTTGCACAAATGTGTTCATACCATGTATATTTGTGCTTTTGTGTGGGTATTGACAACTGAAATCAAGTTTTCTATAAGAGTAGCAGCCAGTGTTCTTAACTGTTGAGTCATATCTCCAGTTCAAACTTTTTTTTAATTGCCTCCAATTACAATTTAAAAGTTTGGGAAAGCTCTTTATCATACCCAGAGTGTTAATATATAGAAGAGAAAACTCATGTTAAGATCATTAAAAGGTAAAAGTTAATATCCATAGGCATTCACCTAGCTTCTAAGAGGTCATGCCATCCTCAGGTAGCTGTATGGATGTTATTAAAGCTGTCTCCGTTATCCAAATATATAGCTTCATTCTTCCACTTAGGACCAAAGAAGAAAACTAGATAGTCCCACAAAGGAGCAAGTGTTTCCAACTAATAAATACCCCAATTGGACTCCCAAATGAGATGACGATACCTTCCTTCCTGTCTGTCTGTCTGTGTCTGTACCAGCTCTGGTTGTTCTGGAACTGGCTTTGTAGATTAGGCTGGCCTAGAGCTCACAGAGATCTGCCTGCTTCTGCCTCCTGAGTGCTGGAATCAAAGGTGTGTGCCACCATGCTCAGTGAGATTGAACCTTTAGTGGCAGTGTCCCATGGAAGAAAATGTGTCCTGGTGCCATGGGGAGTAAGAGGGTAAATGAACTCTAAGAAGCCAGTCAGGTTCTGCTTACAGAGGAGTTTGTCCCACTATACAACTCAAAGCCTGGACAGCATCACATCCAGACTAGGTATAATTTTCAGGAATTTTATTTTATGTGCATGATTTTGCCTGCATGTCTCTGCACCATGTGTGTTTAGTGCCCCCAGAAGCCAGAAGAGGGCATCAGAGCCCCTGGAACTGGAGTTACGGTGGTTGGGAGTCACTATTGGGTACTGGGAGCTGAACTTGGGTCCTCTGAAAGAGCAGCCAGATCTTAACCGCTGAGCCATCTCTGCAGCCTCCACATCAGGTTTTCTATTTTTGACATGGAGCTACAATTCAGAACAGTCTACAAACAAAAATTTATTAGCACAAGTCTGTACATAAAACTAGGTGTGCATATTCTGACAGGCAGAGAGAGGGGGATTGCTGTGAGTTTGAGGTCAGCCTGGTCTACAGAGCAACTTTCAGGACAGCCAGAGTTACATAGTGAGACTGTATCAAAAACCAAAAACATAAATATTGTGCAGAATTCTCAAAGGACTAATAAAAATATATAAAATGTCAATTTAATGAAATATTTTAATTAAAAAAAATGAAGTCTCATTGTGTTCCCAGACTAGAGTGTGGTGACTTCTCATGGGGGTCTCTATTACTACTCAGCGCAAGTAGACTGATTGTCTCTGATTCCAAGAGGTCACCATATTGATGCCAAACTTAGTGTGGATACCTGATCAGGGGAGTGCACTAGATCCCCAGGCTCCTGAGCACAAGAAACCCTTCTGCCTCTGTAGTAGCTGGGACCAACGGCCTGTGCCAATCAATGGAGGTGAGCCAGGCATTGTTGCTCATGGCTATAATCTCTTTGGAGGCTAAGGTCAATTGTGAGTTCAAGGCCAGCCTTGACTACATAATGAGTCCTTGTGTCAATAAATAAACAAACAAAAACCCCATAACAAAACAAACAAACAAAACAAAACAAACAACTCCAAGAATTGTGGTGAAATTTGTATGATACAAAATCTTAAGAATGATGGTTCATAATTGTAGTCTCTGCTACTTGGGAGGCTGAGGCAGAAGGATTGCCTCACCCTAGGAGTTCAGAGACAGCCTGGTCAATATAGTAAGACTATATATGTATGTATACAGACATGTAGAAACACAGAAACACGTATCTATCATCTATCTATAAATCTATCTTATATCTATTATCTATCTTATGCCTATCTATAATCTCTTATATCTATATCATCTATCTTCTATCTATCTATCATCTATCAATCTATCAATCTATCTATCTATCTATCTATTTATCTATCTATCTATCTATCTATCTATCTATCTATTTATCTATCTATCTGTTTTGAGTTGTATAGTGGGACCAACTCCTCTGTAAGCAGAACCTGACTGGCTTCTTAGAGTTCATTTACCCTCTTACTCCCCATGGCACCAGGACACATTTTCTTCTATGGGACACTGCCACTGAAGGTTCAATCTCAATGGGCATGGTGGCACACACCTTTGATTCCAGCACTCAGGAGGCAGAGGCAGGCAGATCTCTGTGAGCTCTATCTATCTGTCTATCTCTGTATATATGTGGGCTGGGCACATAACCCATTGAGAACTATGCCTAGTGTATGTAAGGTTCTGGGTTCTATTCCCAGAACCAGGAAAAATTGCAAATATTTTTTAAAACATAATTCAGTGGCATTTAATACTTCACAGGGTTGTGCCACTGTTACAACTAGCTCCAAAACATTTTCATCACCCTCAAAGCAGACTTTGCATTCATTAAGCATTCTCCCCTCCTCTCACCTCCTGGCAGGACTTACCTGTTTAAGGTGTTTCCCAAGAACAGGGTCACATACAGTGTGGTGTTTTGTGATTGGCTTCTCAGCAGGGTTTTTGAAGATCATCTGTGATGAACTGTATGTCATTTCTTTATATGGCTGTATAATATTTCATTGTTTAACCTTGCCTGTTTCTCAGATGTTTAGCATTTAAATTGTTTCCACCTATTATTTTAGTGGTACTATTGCAGTGATGGGGATTAAACCTAGGACCTATGGCCTCTTGCATGGTAGGCAAGCACTCTACCACTGAAATACTGCGCCAGCCCTCTTTCCTTTCTCCTTCTGTCCTTCTAGCCTTTCTCCCTCCCTTCATTCCTTCTTTCCATACTAGGCATTGAACTCAGAGCCGTGCATTCACTAATACTATTACTCCACTCCTAGCTGCGTTCTTAGATCTAGTTTTACTTGAAACTAGTTTTCACTTTTATTTGCATGCATATGTGTGCTGCTGTGAGCCTGGTTGTGCAGAAATCTCTTTGAATCCCTGCTTTTAAATCTTTGGAGGTATGTACACAGAAAGGATACTTCTGTATCCCATGGCAAATCTAGGCTTGACATTTTGAGGACCACTAAACTCATTTCTATCTGTGGTTGCATCATCGAGGCTGCCAGTTTTTCAGCATCCTGGCCTATGCTTGTCATTTCCCCTCTCTTTATAGGAGTAGCTCAGTGGGTGTGAATTGGTATCTTCTTGTGGTTTGGCCTTGCATTTCCCTAAACGATGCTGAACATCCTTTCATGAGCTTGTTGGTCATTTGTGTATCTTCAGAGAAGCGTCTATGTGTGTGAGGGAGTGTGTGTGTGTGTGTGTGTGTGTGTGTGTGTGTGTGAGAAAGAGAGAGAGAGAGAGAGAACACTCCTGTACCTGTACATGAACTTGAACTTGTGTGCCTCAGTGCATGGTTTTGTGTGGAGGTCAGAAGACAACTTTGTGGCGTTCTTGCCTTCCACCATATGGGCTCTGGGAATCAAACACGTCAGAAGGTTTGGTTGTAGGTATTTTCACAGGCAGAGACATTATGCCAGCCCTCGTTGAGTAGTTTTTAATATAAGCTGCCTCTATGTCTCGTCTCCAGCCCCTGTTTTCTTGTTCTATCCTTCTGGGCAGTTTTCTCACCACCTATTCTGGTGGTCTCCCGGATAAGCCACCCACCTGTGTCTGACCTGGCTCATGGCCCTGCTCACAGTCTATCTCTTGCTTGCAAAGGCAGGCCAGTCTGCAATGAGCAGAGCTTGGGGACACTCTTCTCGTTTTCTGTCCCAGAGCTTCCCTTTCTTACTGTAGCTGCTGCAGCCACAGGCTAGATGGAGGGACCACAGCGTCATCCAATCACCAGTGCAATACCCTCTTCCCACAGCAGGGCTAGGAGGCCGAGAGTGATGAAATTCCACCGGCATGGCTGCAGTGTGCTCAGCAGGACCCTGTGATAAGATGTCTAACAGTTACAGGGCGGCTGTTTTGAGGTTGAGAGGCTGGGAGCCCACAGGAAGTGACTTGGTGCTGAGCTGATGCAGCTTTGTTCAGCACCCATCCTGACACAGAAACTGCAGCTGGCACGGCTGGGAATGGCAACAGAGTGCACCGATCCTTGGATAGGAGGGCCACAGAGCCAGGCTCTGAGTCCAGATGGGCAGTATGGGGCCTTGGCTTCAGGGAGGTGTGTGCCCTCCTCCACATCTGCCTCCTGGAGCCTGCCCCGCTGGAGAGCATACTTGGCTGCTGCTGTTCTCTGCTACATTAACCTTCTGAACTATATGAATTGGTTCATCATCCCAGGTGAGGAGGGAAGGGGTGGCCCAGGGAAGTATCTTGAGGTATCCCCACCCTACCAGCCCATGACTGTGCACCTATGCTGGCCTTCCTCCCAGCACCCTCTCTTCTCTTGGAGCACATCTCTGGTGGTTTCACCCCTGAAATTGGTCTTCGGCCTCTCCTGAATGGTCCCAAGCCAGAGTGGGGCACAATGTGTGGGGGCAGGGACATTAGGAGGTAGATGGATGGGATTGTGTTCTGCAGCAAAGGCCTTGGGTTGAGGAGCTGCAGGCAAGGTTACAGAGGGCAGGGCAGCTTGGCCCATCTCCCAAGTGAGCATGGCTCTTCCTGGGCTGTTTCTGGGGCAGCTGGCTACTGGCCTACCTTGCAGTTTGCCTCCCTTCTTGTAGGAAACAGGGCACAACCTGCTTCTGAGCTCTGTCACTCACTTGTGCATTCCTTTGTGACTGGGCTCAGCTTGCTTTTCTAGCCACTCACTCATTCATTTGTTCATCTATTCATAGTCAACCCTAATTGTGTGTGTGTTTGTGGGGCCACATGTTCATCAGTGCTTGTGTGGAGGTCAGGAGGTCAGGGGACCACTCTGTGGAGTCAGTTCTCATCTTCCACCTTTATGTGAGCTCTAGGGATTGAACTCAGGTCACCATGCTTATTCAACAAGTGCCTTCCCAAGCTGAGCCATCTTGGCAGCCCTGTTTTCTTTTTTTGAGGCAGGGCCTCATGTAGCTCAGGCTAGACTCAAACTCACTATGTAGCTGAGGATATTCTTAAGCTACTGCCATTCCTGCCTTTGCCTCCTGAGAGGTAGGATCACAGGCATGCCACCACATTGGTTTATGTAGTCCTAGGGATTGAAGCCAGGGTTTTGTGCATGCCAGCCTTGGAACTTATACTTTCTTGTCCAGGCAATGGGGAACCATGGGAGAGAACCTTAAATGGAAGAATATAATGGGATTTGGGCCCTTGAAATATGCAAGATGAGCTGGGGAGATGGACTGTCAGAGGCTGCCAAAGGGGATCGGGCTGAGGGTGACGAGGCCAGAACCTTAGTATGGGCTGAGAGGCCTGGAGGAACGGGAGGCACAGAGCAGTTAGGAAGTGTCACTGTGCAGCCTTCCGAGCCTAAGCTCTCTCTGCCCTGGAGGCCCCCACTGGGGCTATCAGACTCTGAGACCTGCATGCCAGGGTCACTTCTCCCTTGGGACTTCCATTGGTGTGGCCACAGTGGGGAAGACTTGGAGAAGTGAAACTATGCAGGGCTCTTGGGGCCAGGCAGTGTTATATCAGCTAAGATTCTCCCGTGGAAAGAGTGCTTAGGAAGACCAGGATGTTAGGAACTAGGAGGAGAGCTGGCTTCACCTTTGGTCTTGGACTACCCACAAGGTTGAGAAAAATCCCAGGAAACAGATCAAGGGGACTCTCCTAAAAATGGAAAATGAGTGCTCTCAGAGGACTCTTAGGTAGCTATTTTTCTTGCTAACTTATGTTGCATGTTTCTCTCTCTCTCTAATGATTATGCCATCTGGTGTCATTAAAAGATAAGAAAGGGCTGAGGATGTGACTAAGTTGGAAGAATGCTTGTTTGGCGTGCATGAAGTCCTGGGTTCCATCCTCAGCACCCCATAAAACCAGTGTGGTGGCACACTCTTGTAATCCTAGTACTTGAGATACAGTCAGGAGGATTGCAAGTTCAAGGTCATCCTTGGCTGCATAGAGAGTTTAAGGCCAGCTCAGACACTATGAGCATTTCCCCCCCCCACTCAAAATGATAATTTTTTTAAGGTAAAAAAGTTATACAGATGTGTCTGTTATGGTGATTGGGTTCAAACTAGATGAATAAATAAACTCTCTTACCCCGTGTCTTTTGATCTTTGATTTTCATCCACTGGCTGCTATATATCATATCAGAGGGGTGGATGTAGGATTTCTTGTGGCGGGGCCCCACATGGGGACTTTTGTTCCCCTCTGTGATGCTGGATGGGGGAGCTGCCTCTGTCAGAGTTGTAATCCTTGCTCTCCAGTTGCAGCCGGACAGTCTTGGGCAGGTGGAGTCTGTGTATCAGGCATAGTGATGGGTGTCCCCCCCCTCCCCGCCTTGCCTCTTTTTGAGACAGAGTTTCATGTAGCTTAGGCTGGCTTTGAAGTCTGCTGGCCTCAAACTCTTGATCCTCCTGAATCCACTTCCTTACAGCTGAGATTGCAGGGGTGTGTTGCCATGCTGACTTTGGTGTATGTTTGGTAGGGGCATGTTTGTGGTTTTTGCTGCTATTGCTGTGTGATTGTACACATGACAGGTAGGTGGAGACCAGGACCATGGGCCCAGCTACCGTGTCCTGTGCTGTGCTGCTCATCTGAGCCTGTTTCAGTCTCCAAGGAAGCATCCTTGGAAGCTACCTGGGGGGTTACTTCCATCAATGCTGTCCATCTGTCCCTAGGAGTGTTACTGGATGTCCAGAAGTATTTTCACATCAGTGACAGCCATGCTGGTTTGCTGCAGACAGGTAAGGAACCAGTTTTGGACCCTGGAACCAGAGCTCTTTTCATAGATTGGTGGGTTCTGTAGCCAGCTCCAGACCCTTAGTCTTCTGCAGGAGAGAGCTGGGGCTTGAACAAGCTCCAGAGCTGGGGAAGGCTCCTGAGTGTTCCTAGTTCCCATCCTGTTTGTAGCTCAGCTGAGTATTCCATGGAGAAGCATGAAATATCAGTGTGTGCTTTTCTCTCACAGAACTGAGAAATCTGACTAACAGGACTCATAGGCAGATAGACATAGACCTTGATCCTCAGGTGGACTCAGAAGGGTTCTGGGCCACAGAGAATCTACTAATCCAACATCAGGGAGCAGCCACACTCCATTCCAAGGGGTTGGTTTATGGCATCATGAAGCATAGGTTAACCTTCCATGCAAGCTTGGGTTAAGTGATACACATCTACACGTATGCACAACATACAACAACACATGTACATTGTGGCTCCTCTCTGCAGCCTGCCCCCCCACCCCAATTGTCCATTGTCATGGTTTCACAGCAGGTTCTCAAACTAGGTACAGGGAGCCTGACTTTTCCTGGACTTTGAAAACAGTCCTGAGAGGTCATTTCAGTCTGCCTGTTGTTTTCTTAACATGATCAGTCTAGAGCAAACCTGTGCTTGGAGGGTTGGTTCCCTTTGTCATTGTCTCTCACCCTTATCCTGCTCCTGTTCTGTCCACTTCTGTCCACTCTCTGAAGTAGAAAGAATTGCTAAATCTGTATGCTCCTCTTTGTAAAACTCAAGAGTACCAAGCAAAGGTACTTGCTATGGTTTCTGCAGGGAGGCCCCGGGCACAGACAACTCACTCATAGAAATGCTTCTGTGCTTTCCCACCAAGCCACTCACCCCTGGCGAGGAGTCAAGCCTTATCTAGTCAGCCCTGTTCATGACTGCTATTTATCTATGAATTCAACTTCAGAAACAAGATCGTGATCTCCGGGATAGGTATTAACACACTGCTTTTGATTTTAACAAGCCACCAGTTTCCTCACAGTCTGATTTGACGGGTTAGTTTGGCAAAGCAGGGCTGACTTTCCCACTTGGGTTCATGGCAGGCCTTTCCCATAAACTGAATGAACTCCATCTGCCCCTTAGAGTGCTTGATGGAAATACTGTTTACAAAAATAAAGTCATCCTTCTATCTTCTGGAGACCAGTTCCAGGATCCCTGTAGATGGTCAGTCTGAAAAGGCTAAGAGTTCCAGGCCAGTCTGGCCTACTTAGTGAGTTCTAGGGAGCCAGTATTGCATAGTGAGATAGATCCTGTCTAAAATAGAAAGGCATAGTGTCTGGGTGTAATGGTACATGACTTTAATCCAGGCACTCAGGAGGCAGAGGCAAGTAGATCTCTGTGAGTATGAGGCCAGCCTGGTCTACACAGAGACTTTTAGGATAGCCAGGACTACATACAAAGATCTTAAATCAAAAAAAAAAAAAAAAAAAAAAAAAAAAAAAAAGGGGCATAGTGTTTGCAGATCTCCTAATACATCTTCCTCTAAAATCAGGTCATCTCCAGATGACTTGGAGTAGCTAACACAAATCTATATAAACCATTGCCACAGGGTTTCATTTAGGGACTAGTAAAAAGGAGAAAAGTCTGTACAAGGTCATGTGTATATAATTGCTTTTTGAACTACTTCAACTTCAGACAAAAGGTTTCATTTATTTATTTTTTATTAAAATTTATTTTGTTTTGCTTTTTTTGTTTGTTTGTTTGTTCTTTTCAAGACAGGGTTTCACTGTATAACAGCCCTGGCTGTCCTGGAATCCTCTCTCTCTCTCTTTCTCTTTTTTGAGACATAGACCAGGCTGGCCTCAAACACAGAGACCCACCTGCCTCAGCCTCCCAAGTGCACTACTGGGATTATAGGTGTATGCCACCATGCCTGGATTTATTATTTTTAAATATTTATTATTACCTTATGTGTATGAATGTTCTGATTGCATGTGTGTATGTGTACTGTGTGTATGCCTAGTGCTCTTGGAGGTCAGAAGAAGGCATTGGAGCTTCTGGAACTGGAGTTCTGAGCTGCCCGATGTGGGTGCTAGCAACTAAACTTGGGTCCTCTACAAGAACAACAAGTACTCTTAACTCTGTTCTATCTCTCCCCAAAGGTATTTATTTACTTGCTTTGAGATAAGGTCTCATGTAACTCAGACTGGTCCTGCACCCACCAAGCAGCCAAGAATCATCTTGAACTCTTGGATCCATCTGCTTCTAGTTTCCCAGAGCTGAGGCTGCAGATATGTATCCCATGCTTGGCTGATAAAAATGTTTTAAATGGCAACTGAAAGCATATGAAGGAATAAGTAGTTCTAGAGGGAGTGAAAACAACACAGATTTATAATAACATTAGTGAACTGGGACTGGCGGTACATGCTTCAGGAGGCAGAGGCAGGCAGATTCTATGAGTTGGAGGCCAGCCTGGTCTACACAGTGGACTCCAAGCCAAACAAAGTTGCATAGGGACACTGTCTCAAACAGATGGAAATAAATAAAATGTTGTCGCAAGCATTTGAAGTGTATGCTTGTAATCCCTGGGAAGTAGAGGAACAAAGACGAGTCAAAGTTATCTGTGACCCCTGAATGTAGTTTCAGTTAGGAGGACTGGGCAGTCTATGGGGGCTCTGGGAGTGGATCAGTATTTATGCCTAGTATACGAATGGACTTTGGGAGCCCATTCCACATAAAGAGATACTCTCTCAGCCTAGACACATGGGGGAGGGCCTAGGCCCTGCTCCACATGATATGACAGATCTTGAAGACTCCCCAAGGAAGGCCTCACCCTCCCTGGGGAGCAGAAAGGGGACAGGATGGGGTTTGGACAGGATGGGAGGACAGGAGAGTGCAGGAACTGGGTTTGACATGTAAAACAAGTTTGTTACAAATTTAAATAAAAAATTATAAAAATATATACATTTTCCAACATATTAAAAAGAAGTTATTGGTTATATAGGGAGAGAGAGGCACCTGGGTCTCAGACCATTTGTTCACTGAGATGCCATTTGTTTTTCCTTAGACAGATGAAAATGAAATTCTAGTTCATATCAGTTGGTGATAAGAGTTCTAACAGGCACTTCTATACAAGTGTAAATTGATACAGCCTTTTTGGAGCCCTATTTTGGCAGTAGCTATTAAAATTTTAAACACCATCAACACTGGAAATCACTCTCTGTGGAGTCTTAGGGTGAACCATATTAAATTGCTGGTTTTGTAGGTCATAAGTGGCCTAATTTCCACAATTGCATATTGCTTAACCTAGTACTATGGCAGGTCATGGGAGAGTGGGAGGGACTGGGACCTGAGCTGGGTGTTCACTGGGCTCAGGAAATGTCAGTCATCTATGATCAGAGAATAGATTCCCAGAGCCCTCCTAAGTCTTGGCCCTTTGATGGATAAGGTGAAGAGGGGAGGGGTTTTTAGGCTTCTGTTTGTCTACCTGCTAGCTGTCCCGACTGGAGGCCAGGACTACAGCAAGGAAGGAGGAGATTTTATTTTAAATACCTGCATCATGTGTGAGTTTATCCATATGCTACACAGCTGGGCAAACCCGAAGCCAAGTCTTTGTTCTCATTGAAGAGCAAATACAACACTAATAAGTGCTTTGTTTAGTTTTAGCTTTAAAAAATATTATTATAGGCTGGGACAATGACTCATCATGTTAAGAGCATTGGTTTGACTGGGTGGTGGCGGTTCATGCCTTTAATCCCAACACTTGGGAGGCAGAGGCAGGCAAATCTCTGTGCATTTGAAGTCATCCTGGTCTATAGAGCAAATTCCAGGATGTCAGGACTGTTAAACAGAGAAACCCTGTCTCAAAAAACCAAAGGGGGTGGGGGAGACAAAACTCAAAACAAAAACAAAAACAAACAAACAAAAAACCCATACACACAAAATAGTAAAAGTTTTTAAAAATTAAAAGAAACATTTTTTATTGCATTTGGTGTACTCTCTCTCTCTCTCTCTCTCTCTCTCTCTGTGTGTGTGTATATGTGTGTGTACATAAGTCACAATGTGAGTGTGGAGTCAGAGGACAATTTGCACAAGTTGATTTTGTTGTTTCATGTAGGTTTTGGGCATCAGCAACCTCAGGTTCTTCGGGCTTGGTGGCAAGCACCTTCAGTTACTGAGGCGTTTCAGCTGGCCCCTTGTTTTTGAGACAGGTCTTGCTGTGTAAGCCAGGTTGCCTTTGAACCTCTGCTCCTTTTGTCTCAGCCTCTGAAGTGCTGGACTTACAAGCATAAGGCCTGCTTTGGTGCAGATGTGGCTGGAGATGTAGTTCACTTGGTAGGTGCTTGTATAGAATGCACAAAGTCCTGGGTTCTAAATGGAATGTGGTGACACACATCTGTCACCAGCAGTCAGGAGGTAGATTCAGGAGGAGGATCAGAAGCTCGAAGTTATCCTTCGCTACATAGCAATTTCAAGGCCAGCCTAGGGTACATGAGATTCTGGTTAATACATAGGTGTCAGTGTGGAGAATATTGTGTGCCCTGAGGCACACCAGCTCTTCCCCCAGCTTCCTGCATCATCATTGGTTTGTATTTCATGTGTTTGTTTCAGGTTCTTCCTCTGCTGGTCCAAAGCCCTGACCTCCCTTTCCTCTTGCCAGCAGCAGGTGTGTGAGTGACAGATCAGATCAGTTCCTATACCCACACACTCACAGACGCCATGCATTCGTGCAAATCCAGAAAGCAAGCATTCACTCTGTGCTGGTGGCTCTACATTCCCTTTATGTCCCTGAAGGAGAGAGTGTCAGCTTCCCAAGACTGGGGTGATGCTCAGAGGCCACACAATAACATAATTAGAGTTGAGATTTGGTCCATGCTCAGTGTCATACACTCTGGGCTGTGGGTTGTATAATGGATCAGGAATGTAAGACTCAACTTTTATCTCTTCCATGTCTTGCCCTGGGCCCACTGCCAAGGTGCCAGCTTGTGGCATCTGTGCCAGGCCTCTTCCCTGGGCCAGCAGGGCTGTCTGCCCAGCCACCCTCTTAGAGGATCCAGGCTGCCCCTTGTGTGTCTCCTCCAGTCTTCATCGGCTGCCTGCTGGTGTCTGCGCCTGCGTTTGGCTATCTGGGTGACCGCCACAGCCGCAAGGCCACACTGAGCTTTGGGATCCTGCTGTGGTCAGGGGCTGGCCTCGCCAGCTCCTTCATCTCCTACCAGGTAGGACCCACATCCTTGCCCAGTCCCTGGGACCTTCCCCATCTGCTTTCTTCCTGATCCAGTTGCCTCAGAGTTCCCTTCCAGCCCCAGCCAGCTCAGGGATTGTACTGCCAGGGCATTGAGGGAAGCTGTAGTACACACAGCCTCTAAGCCTGAGTAGGGAGGCTGTTAGATAGGTTTTGCTTTTATTTTTTGAGACAGGGTCTCATTGTATAGCACTGAATATCCTGGAACTCGCTTTGTAGACCAGGCAGGCCCAGAACTCATAGAGATCTGCCTACTTCTGCTTCCAGAGTGCTGAGAAGCCCTGCTTTTGTTGTTTTTTGAAACACTGTCTCGCTCTCTCGCTCTGGTCGGGTTGGACTCTTTATGAAGTAGAGGCTGGTTTTGAACTCACAGAAATCTGTTTCTGCCTCTCAAGTGCTAAAATCAAAGGCATGTACCATCATGTCCACCTGGCCCTTTGATTTTATTTTTAAATTTTTTTTCATTTATTTAACTTTATTTTATGTACATTGGAGTGAAGGTGTCCAATCCCCTGGAACTTGAGTTACAGACAGTTGTAAACTGCCGTGTGGGTGCTGGGAATTGAACCTGAGTCCTTCTGAAGAACAGCCAGTGCTCTTAACCACTGAGCCTCTTAATTTAATTTTTTTTTTTTTTTGAGACAGGGTTTCCTCTGTGTTTTGCTGTTGTTTTTGCTTTTATTTTTTCCGTTAGACTTTCTTAACAGGAGGCTTCCTGGCTCTCTATTTCACTTCCCATTTTGGTGGGCTCAACGAGGGTTGGGGGAGGCTGGTGTAATAGGTTCTGTCTTGGGAAACCGCCCTGGCTAGCAGAGAGCCAAAGGAAAGGTTTCCCCTCTGTCCTGAGCAGGCAGTGGCTATAAGCACCAGTAGGCCCACCCACAGGATTTTGGGAATCTGGAGTCTCTGTGGGCCTTTGTCATGAGGTCCTTTTAGGCTCTATGACACATCTTCTGGCACTTGACCCACGGGAAATTTCTGGATCTCACCATGGTCTTGTGCCGGCTTATCCAGTATTCCTGGCTCTTCTTCCTGTCCCGGGGAGTCGTGGGCACTGGTGCAGCAAGTTACTCCACCATTGCGCCCACTGTCCTGGGTGACCTCTTCGTGAAGGATCAGCGGACCTGTGTACTGGCTGTCTTTTACATCTTCATCCCTGTTGGAAGGTTGGTATCATTCCTGGATCCACTTCCCCCAAAGGTGAACTGAGGCTGAAAGAAGCAGAACCGCGGCTGCGCTGGGGCTAGGAGAGATCGAACCAGGAGGGCTGGGATCTGAATCCCATCATGGCCCCTTTCCTGTCACTGAGTCTCTCCCTGAGCCCTTTCCCTTGCCTGTTAATGGGGACAGTGCTGCCACTCAATAGGCTAGGTGACTGTTAGCAATGGTAACTGTGCTTCTGAAGGTCAGCACAGTGAGAAGAGGCAGTGTGGCCCACTGGGAAGGGCAGCTCTGGGAGACCAGTGAGGAAGTGTGCTTTGTGGCCCTATGGGGAGGCCCCTGAGCTCTGACCCTCATTTCCTGAACCTGCCTGACTCAAGCAGGGCTGGACTTTGGACACTAGGGGTGGGGTTGGTGATGGGGTTTGCAATTCCTTATGTGGAGGGATTGGCACAGGGCCTGGGATAGGAGCCAGAAGAGGTCACTAGGGGTCTGACCAAGGGCAGCATAAAACTGGGCTTTTTCTCAGGGAATGGGCTCTGAGGCTCGGAGAACTGGGCCTGGGCCGGGGAGCCGGTTCTCTGCAGTCAGACTGGCCTTGGGCCCTTCCTTCCACCCCTCACTGCTATCTCTCTTACCCCATTGTTGCAGTGGTCTGGGCTACGTTCTGGGGTCAGTGGTGGCAGAGCTGACAGGGAGCTGGCGTTGGGCCCTCCGAGTGAGTTCCACTTCCTTCTTGTCCCTCTGCCTTACCCCCTGGGCGGGCTGGGACTTTCCAGTCTCCTGTGGCCTTAGCCACTTGGCTTAGTACCTGGCGCCATGTGGGGTGTTGGATGTTGGCGGCTGGGGCCTCATGGGGAATATGGACTATGGAAATTGTGACCTTGGGGTCAAATCCCAGCTGCTCAGTTTGCTGGCTGTGAGGCCTCAGGCAAGTTGCCTCCTTGTTTGGGGCCTCAGCTTCCCTTGCTGTAAAAGTTAAAGCTACCTATGGATTCTTAAGGATTATTTGGGCAAGGACTGGAAAGTTTCTGGGCCAGGCCAGGGACAGAGCATCCCTAAGAAATGCCATCTGGGGCCACTTGGTAGTAGAGTCAGAACAACTGGGAACATACCTGGGAGGCTCTGTTGCCCTGTGGCTCTCCTTAGAAAAAAGGATATGGCCAGGCAGTGGTGGTGAATGCCATTAAAAGTAGGGGGGCTCTCTTTGAGTTGGAGGCTAGCCTGGTCTACAGAGCGAGTGCCAGGACAGCCAAGACTACACAGCAAAACCCTGTCACAGAAAACAAAACAAAACAAACATGGATATGGACCAGAAGAGGGGGCTGGGGCTTGGTCCCACAAGCAGATCTCTGCTGAATGGTGGTGGATGGCAGAGATAGAAGCCTGGGGCAGGAAAAGGCTTCAAGGAAGCTGGCCTGACTTGCCTTGAGTAGGAGCCTCCTCATGGTCTGAGCTGTCTGAAGCTGCCCCAGGGAGGGTAGTGAGTGCAGGGGTGTCAGGAGAGGATGGCAGGGTGTGGCAGATGGAAGCACAAGCCAGGAAAGGGGCTCTCAGTTCTCATTTTCATCTATCTCAGACTCTCTGGTCCCAAAATGGAGAATTTGTACTGAGCTGGTGGGCATTCATTGGGTGCCACTGATGAGTCTGTACCATCTCTGTAAGGGCGAGGGCAAGTGCTATGGCCAGCTCTCTGTATAGCCAGCACCTGGGACTCAAGACTGGACCAGAGTACAGACCCTGTCTCCTAGGCTGTGGTAGCACTTGGCTCTGAGATCCCTGGCCCTCTTTCCCCAGATCATGCCCTGCTTGGATGCTCTGGCTTTAGTCCTGCTCATCCTGCTGGTTCCAGACATACCTCGAGGAGCAGCTGAGAAGCAGGAAGAGGTGGCTGTAGGGGCTCCAAGGAGCAGCTGGTGTGAGGATGTCAGATACTTGGGGAGAAAGTAAGTGTTCCTGCTCTCTGTTGCAAGTCTCAAGGAACCCTTCTGGGGGTGGAGAGATGGCTCAGGCATTAAGTGTGTTGACTGCTCTTCCAGAGTTCAATTCCCAGTAACCACATGGTGGCTTATAAACATCTGTAATGAGATCTGATGCCATCTTCTGGCATGCAGACAGAATACTATACATAATAAAAAAAAATCCTAAAAAAAAAAAAAAAAAAAAAAAAAAAACAAAAACAAAAACAAAGAACGCCTCTGTCTAGTCCAGCAACTCCAACCTCTGTCTCTCTGCCTCTGTGGTTGCCTCAGTGTTCATGGCCTTCTTCCTTCTCTGAGCCCCACTCTTACTGAGATGCCCCTCTGTTACGTGGTCCCCTCTGTATGTGGCAGAAGTGTGGCTGAGAGTGGGGCCAGCTGTGTGAGCTCTAGCCTTGCACTGTGTTCATTTATCCAGCGGACTTACTTTTCCAGCCAATCTGCTTCCCCAGGCTGCTAGAGGGATGCTGCGAGTTCACTTCTTCAAGCTGCATGGAAGCGACACTGGCCCCTGTGTCAGGTCTTGATTGCAAGTAGTACAAGCTCTCCTCACTGTAGTCTCAGGCCTCATGATTCACTGCATCGAAGAGCATGAGGACAGCTCAGAACATTAGGGAGTCTGGATCCTGTATGACTGGGGGAGTGGTCAGGCCCTTTCAGTCCTGGCCCTATCTTGGCTTCAGCCAGGACACTTTCTCTTGCAGCTGGAGTTTTGTATTTTCAACCCTCGGAGTGACAGCCATAGCTTTTGTGACTGGAGCGCTTGGCTTCTGGGCACCCAAGTTTCTGTTTGAAGCTCGAGTGGTCCACGGCCTTCAGCTTCCCTGCTTCCAGGAGCAGTGTGGCAGTCAGGACAGGTAAGGAGGGGTTGGAGGGCACTGGCCTGGTTCTTGGTTCTTGCTGGAGCAGTTCCCAGGAGACTGTGAGCCTAGGTTCAGTCTTCCCAGGCAATCTGTGAAGATGGCTGACCTTTGGACCACCCATGGGCAGGTCAGGGTTCCAACTCTGACTGAGCATTGTGTATGCAGCCATCTCTATTGGCTTTTGTGGGTGTTGGAATCTCTGTCTTTCTATTCTCATGGCTATTGTGGGGGTTCCGAAGGCACCAGAGGGAGAAGGATGTGAGGCTTCAGGGAATGGTAAGAATCGTAGGTGATCACCCTTTGCCCTTGAAAGGGTCCCCAAATGTCTTCTGTGAGGTCACCCCATTTTACAGATTGCAAATTAAGTCACTGGGAAGATCCTTCATGTGTCTGGCTTAGGGACGTCAAGGATGTGTTCATTTCTTCTTTGTTCCATCAGTCATCTAGACACCTGGGAGAGTTGTTGAGGTGTCACTTCATGTCATGCCTTGCCAGCCCTCTGGCTCTGCTGGGCTCCTCTACTGTCCCTACCATCTCTTGCCATATTCTCCAAAGACTCCAGTGACCCCCTGATGGGAGTCAAGATTGTCTTCCCTCCTCTTTGATACCCCTAATTCCTTGCCCCCACCCCTGGTGACATGCTCTCTCTCCTGTATCCTTTGCATCTGGTGATTTATTGGACTTTTAAATTAAGTTTTTATGTATTTTATGTATATGGGTGTTTTGACATGATGTATGTATGTATATATGTGCACCACATGCATGCAGTGCCTGAGGGGGCCAGAAGAGGGCACCAGATCCCAAGAACTGGAGTTACAGGTGGTTGCGAGCTGCTGTGTGGGTGCTGGGAATCAAATTTGGTCCTCTGCAAGTGCAGCAGGTGCTCAACTATTGAGCATCTCTCCAGCCCCTCCTTGAACTTCTACAGCCCTGCTCCCATCTGCTAGGTTCTCTGCTTGTCACAACAACACCTGCTTGCTCTTCTCCAGTCACTTTTTTTTTTTTTTGCCTCAGTTTTCCCTGATGTCCAGAGGGAGCTTGTTTGATTTCCAGAATGTCTGTGTTTTTGCCCCAGTGTGATCTCTGCCCATAGTTTCCTTCCCTTTTCTCATCATTATGTATTAAACTTACTTATTTTGCAGTTCTGGGGATTGAACCCAAGACCTTGCACATTCTAAGCAAGTGTTCTTTGGGGTGAATGCTAGGTAAATGCTTCACTGATAAGCAACACATCCAGCCTCTCCCTGGCAGATTTTAGTGAAGGGTGCTATCAATGAGCCACACCCCCAGCTCTAAATGTTTGCTTCAAGCCTTGCACCAACTATTTTACACAAATAACATGCAGAGGAAGGTATTTATGCTGTCTCTGAATTTCAAATGAGATGGGAGGTCACACAGATTAAGTGACTTGTCTAAGGTAACCCATCTAACATTGCAGCTGTTGTTCTGAAACCCCAGGTCCTGTTGCCATTGGAGACTGCCTGGTGCTGCCAATAACTTTCAAGTTGCTTCACCAGTTGGCAGGGCTTTCTGGCATATAGGAAAAATCTTGTGAACAGACATGTAGAGATGGTGAAGTTTGCCTTTGCTCCCCTTTGCAAAGACAGCTCTGGAGGCAAAAGCAGCTTTCTAAACAGACCCCAAAGAGGACTCAATCCCACTTCCTGATATTAATACTTATAGAAGCCATTGTCTCTGCTCAGCTCCCACTTTCTGGCCTCTTCACACCATCTGGGTATGGGTACATTTTTTGTTTCTTATGCTTGATAAAATAATGACCACACCTCATGGCCTTTAAAGCCACAGAAATGTGGGCTTGGGCTGGGTCTGTGACTCAGGTAGTAGATTTCCTAGAGTGCACGAGGCCCTGCATTTGATCCTAGAATTGCACAATCAGAACAGTGGCCCACACCTGTAACCTTGGCACCTGGGAGGAGGAGGCAAGACGACCCAGAAGTTCAAGGGTGGTGCCATCAAGACTGATGACCTGATTTTCAGTCCCTGGAAACCTACACAGTAGAAGGGGAAAATCAACTACCTCAACCTCCACTTGTATATATGGCATACATACATACATACATACATACGATATACATAAGGTTCAATATCATTCTAAGCTACATAGGGAGTATGAGGCTAGCATGGTAGCCTGAACCACATGAGAATCTACCAAAAACAAAACAAACAAACAACAACAAAAACCCAAAGAAAAGAGGATATGCCCTGGGTTCCAGCTCCAGTAGTGAAAAATAAAATAAAAAATCCAAAAATTAGTTTTGTCATGCTTTTGGAGGCTGGTACTTCCAGCAGGCCCAAATCAAGGTATCTGTAGGGTCATGTTCCCTGGGAGTTTGGTGGAGACTTCGCCTCTCCTAGGTCCTTGTACCCGGTACCATCCTTGCACATCTCTCTAACCTCTGCTTTCAAAGTCACATGACAAAGTCCTTGTCTTTCTGGGCTGGAGGTCCCCCAGCAAGCACAAGTGACTGTGCTCAGGCCTTACCTAACTGAGGGAGGGTGGCCATTCCAGGCAAGATCAAGATCCATACTATCTGCAAAGTGTGGTTTTCACTGAAAGGTTTCAGAGATGGGAATATCTTGTGAGGCTCTGGAAGAGTAGTAGAAAGTCCTTGTGCTGGGGCTACTTCAACCCCCTTGATCAGGCTCAGCCCCAGATGCATGTGACAGAGAGGCGGTAACCTCGGTTACTTTCTATTGCTATGATAAACATGATCCCCAAAAGCAACCTGGAAGAAGAAAGTATCTATTTCATCTTCCACTTCTCCTGCACAGTCCATCACCCAGGGAGGGCAGGGCAGGAGTGAAAGCAGGAATCAGGAGGCAGGAACTGAAGCAGAACGAGGAGGAATGGCTGTTTACTGGCTTGCTCTCCATGACTCACTCAGCTTGCTTTTTTATGCAACAGGATCACCTGCTTGTGGTGGTTCAGTTTCTTCCCCTAGCAGTCCTTAGTCAAGAAAATGCCAGAGGCTGGAGAGATAGAGGCTGAAGAGATGGCTCCATGTTTTTAAGAACACTTGCTTGCTCTTGCAGAGAATCTGGGTTTAGTTCCCAGCACCTGCATACCAGCTCATAACTGTCTTTAATTCCAGTCTCAGGGGATCCAGTGCCCTCTTCTGGCCTCTGTGCTTACCAGTGCACATACATATAAACAGGTACACACACATATACACATACAGATAAATAAGCCAGGAGTGGTGGTGCATGCCTTTAATCCCAGGCCTTGGAAGGCAGAGCTGTGTGAGTTTGAGGCCAGCCTGGTCTACACAGTAGTTCCAGGACATCTAGAGCTACATAGTGAGACCCTGTCTCAAAACAACAACAACAAAGAAAACCCCCAAAACCAAATAAATAAATATTTTAATTAAAAAGAAGAACCAGGCATAGTGGTACCCACCTTTAATCCTAACATTTGGAAGGCAGAGTCAGATAGATGTCTATGAGTTTGAGGCCAGCCTGATCTACATAGTCTCATGATTTCTGGCCAGCCCCTCCATCCTGCTCAGGCTATTTTCTGTAGCTCTGTGGGCCCAACACACACACCTGTCTCCCTAAGCCATGTATCCTCTCAGACACAAAAATTATACTGGTCACTATCTCGGTGAGGCCTTGAAACTCCTTTTAAAGGGGCTTGAATGGAACAGTGGGGTGATGGTGTCTGTCTGTGAAGACCCTGGCTCTGTATCTAGCAGCTGTCTCATACTGGTCTTCACCCTTCTTAGTCTTGCATCTGTCCATCTGGGAATTCTGGGAGGGAATCAAAGAGTTCATTTGCTTAACACTTATGTTCTGGGCCCTGGGCGCTCAGCTCAGAGAACAGGAAGGAAACCAAATCTGGTCAATGCTTTTCAGGAATCTGCAGGGTATGGATGGTAGATATTACTACAGCGACCAATGGAAATAAAACAATTAGCATGAGGACAGGATGGTGTCCTCTGTGAGGGAGTGTCTGTGAGAGTCACATGGACTGAGTAGGAATTTGGAAAGTTTACAATAAAGCAAGCAAGGAAACAAGGAATCTACTGCAGAGCGTTCCAGATGAAGAAATGAAAGTATGTGGGGTGTGCAGGGCCGAGGAAAAGAAGAGTAGAGCTGAGGCTGGGGTCCAGGGAGCTGGGACCAGATCTTTGGGTGTTTGAGAGCTGATGGAAGATTTGAGTGTGGTTAGGAACATAGTCAGTTATGTCCTAAGCACTTTCTGGGACTGGAGAGGCGGCTCAGTGGTTAAAGCACTGACAGCTCTTGCAGAGGACCTGGGGTTCGGTTCCCAGCACCCACATGGCAGTTCATAACTACCTGTCATTCTAGCTTCAGGGGACCCAATGCCCCCTTCTGGCCACAATTGATACTGCATGCATACATAATCAAACAAAAACAAAGTCATTATAAAGAAGAGGAAGAGCCAGGTGGTGGCCTGTAATCCCAGCACTCAGGAGGCAGAGGCAGGAGGATCTCTGTGAGTTCGAGTTCAGCCTGGTCTACAAAGCTGCTGCACAGAGAAACACTGTCTCAAAAAAAAAGAGGAAAAGGAAGAGGAAGCAGCAGCAGCACTTTTTGAAAGGCAGATGGGGTTGAAGTGTGTACAAGAATGTGTGGAAAAGGTATGCTGTTGGGGGTTGCTTGGGAGATATGCCCAGCCAGGGTGCAGATGGATGGGATTCAGAGGTGAATGTGCAGGCGTGATGGCACCATCTTTGACCCTAGCATTGGGGAGGCAGAGGGAGGTGGATGTCTGTGAGTTAGAGTTAGAGACCAGCCTGGTCTACAGAGCAAGTTCCAGGACAGCTAAGGCATAACAAGAGTATACCCCCCCAAACCACCCAAAAAACTAAACAAAACCCCCCAAAAAACAAAACAAAAACAAAACCCACCAACATAAAATGAACAACAAGAAAGAGGTAAGTGCAAAGTCCAGACAAGAGCTATGTGTGCATGTCATGGGAGTCAGTACATGCCAATCATCTAGGCACTGAGGATAGGTGAGGGGCCCTGGAGTTAAGATTCCTGAGTATGGCTTTTGGAGTGGTGAAGTAGAGAAGGTCACTGTGGGTGTGCATGGGTGGAGGGTCCTACAAGGTAAGGGTCCTCTGCTTTCCAGCTGCAGTTCTGGGCTTGCCTCTTGCTGCATGGTACCAGATCATGTAACTAGGTCAGGTAGCCTGACCCCGGATGTAGGGATAGGGTGCAGGTCTGACCAGGTCCTCTCTGCTCTTTCCTATCAGCCTGATTTTTGGGGCACTGACTGTTGCAACTGGCATTATTGGTGTCATCCTGGGGGCAGAGGCCTCAAGAAGGTACAAGAAGGTGAACCCCAGGGCTGAGCCCCTCATCTGTGCTTCTAGTCTGTTTGCCACAGCTCCCTGCCTCTTCCTGGCTCTCATCTTGGCCTCAAGGACCCTCCTGGCCTCCTATGTAAGTGAGGGCCCCTCTGGGAGGGGGTGGGAAGCCCTTGAGGATACAGGTGCACAGTAAGCTGAGTCTTTGTGTTCATTGCATTGCTCATCCATTCCAGACTGGTCTCTAGCCCCATTTTCCAGAGAGTACACAGAGGCTCACTGACAGCTGCCCAGCAAAGAGTCAGGGCTAGATTTAATCACAAGCCCATTTGGCTCTGGACTACTGGTTGGTAGTCTGGGGAGGGTAGGAGTGTTTATCTGTCCCACGGTGTGTTGTGAACCTGTGGAGGCAGAGGGAATGCTCCCCCAAGTTTCAGATGAGAAAGGTTGGTCATGGCTGGTGGAGATCTTGCTTGAAAGACAGTTATGGTCAGGACAAACTTTCCATATCCTGGTCCCATTCTAGCCCCCTCTGTGCCCCACATTCTGCCTATGGCAGGGCTGCTTTGTCTGTTCATAAAGGGCACAGTTCCTCTCATGTGTGAAACCCTTCTCTTCCTGCAGTCATTGTTCACCTCCTCTAAAGTGTCCCCAGATTATCAAGCATCCTGTCACAATTCTCTGTTCCCACCCTCCTACCCCATCCCTGTCCTGCCAAGTGGGAAGGGCTTGCTATTTCTGGGAGGATAGTACCAGCTTTGCCCCTTGTCCACAGGCATCAGGTCCTCTGAGCTGGCTGAATTCAGTAAACTGGTGTGGTTTTACTGTTTTCCCCTAGTCCTGGTGACTTTCCTATGGCCAGTCACATTCAAGGACTAAAGAGTCTGGTTCTGTTTAAATCACAGCATCTGTCTGCCTCTGGATAAGGCTGTTATCCAGGCACAGAAAATTGCCCTGGGATGAGGGGACCCGTGCTGTGCTCAAGCTCCTTGTCACATTTTCTGTCCTTTGTCACGGATATCACCCACCCCTGTCCACAATTCTGACTCTTGCAGGCCTGAGCAGGTGAGAGATGACAAAGAATGGACAAGGGCTACCCGAGAATGAGTTGTTTTCTGTTATTTAGAAGTGACAATTGTCCAGGTGCTAAGGTTGGGAACACTTTTGTGGTTTTGGAGTGGGCTCTGACCTTGCTTAATTCCTTGAGCAGATGTGGCCTCTCTAGCAGGACAAGCCTGGCCTATAGATAGTGGTAGCACACCCTCATGACGTTTATAATTCCCCTGCATGCTGTCCTTCCAACCACCTGGTCTCTCTCTCTTTCCCACACTGTACTCTGCTCCCTCTAGCACTCCACCCTAAGGCTTCCCCAAGGGGACTTAGGCCCCAGAGACCATACTTCCTAATGCCACCTAACATGGGTTGGCTAGTACAGAGAAGACCGTTGAGGTGGCCTTAGTCTAGGAGGATCTGAGCTTAGCAGGTATCCTGCCTGTTTCTTTTCTGTCCTCATTTTTTAAAAAAGTATCTCTTTCTTTTTATCTTTTTATTTTTCACCTGGCTGTCCTGGAACTCTCTCTGTAGACCAGGTTGGCTTCCAGCTCATAGAGATTCACCTGCCCAGGAGTACATCAACCCAGGAGCAGCTCATAACAATCTGTAACTCTACACACAGTGGATTTGGCCTCCTAGGCCACTGGCATACACATGGTATACTTACATGCAGACAAAACACCCATACTCATAAAATAAATACATAATTTTAAAAAAAAAAATAAAGAAAAAAAGTTAAATGTTCCTGGGCTGATGTGGAGCCTGCTCCTGGGCACACTGGCTGGCTTTAAGCGGGAGATGCTTCCTTTTCTGTCAACAAAGCTTTAGGGTGCATCTGGGCCCTCTTCAGGGGGTGTCGTAGGGTTACTGTGACTGTGATGAAGCATACTGGGAAGAAAAGGTTTATTTCTCTTAACACTTCCACAGCACCGTCCATCATAGAAGGAAGTCAGGGCAGGATCTCAGAGGAGTAATCTGGAGGCAGGAGCTGATGTAGAGGCCACGGATGGGTGCTGCTCCTGGCTTGCTCCTTATGGCTTGCTCGGCCTGCTTTGTGTTTTTCTTTTTTTTTTTTTTTTTCTTTTTCTTTTTTGGTTTTTCAAGGCAGGGTTTTTCTGTGTAGCCCTGGTCATCCTGGAACTGCTCTGTAGAACATGCAGATCTTGAAATCAAAGATTCTCCTGCTTCTGCCTCCCCAGTGCTGGGATAAAAGCGTGTGCTACCTCCTCCCAGCTGAGCCTGCTTTCTTATGGAATCCAGGACCACCAGTTCAGGATGGCACCACCCACAACAGAATGGTCCCTTCCTATCAATCACTGATTAAGAAAATGCTGATAGGTGGTCTTTAATTCTAGCACTTGAGAGGCAGAGGCAGGTGGATCTCTGTGAGTTTGAGGCCAGCCTGGTCTACAGAGTGAGTTCCAGGACAGCCAGAGATACAGAGAAATCCTATCTGGAAAAGCAAACAAACAGAAAGAAAGAGATGGAGCAAGGGAGGAAGGAAGGGAGGGAAGGGGGGAAGAAGGAAGGAAGGAAGGAAGAAAGAAAGGGAGGAAGGAATAGAGGAAGGAAGGAAGGAAAAGAAAATACCTTGTAGGCTTGCCTATAGACTCATTTTATGGAGGCATTTTCTCAGTTGAGGTTCCCTCCTCTCAGATGGCTCTAGCCTGTGTCAAGCTGACACAAAACTAGCAGCACAGGGAGATGTCCTCTGAACTTCCTAGAGACTGGAAGAGGCCTGCCATCATCCCTCACACAGGTTCACTTGACACTGAATAGTCCTCTTGACACTGCTGTGGGAAGGTGTTTCTCATCCCACCTCAAGGACTGGAAAACTGAGGCCAAGGAAAAGCAACAGAGTAAGGCAGACAAATGTTTGCTTCAGGCCTGGACATATCATGTCTGTGTCCTTGCCATTCTGTGGGTGAGATGCAGCCAGACACCAATACATGCTTTTATGCTTACTGCCTAGGTGGGATGGGGTGGTGGGGACTGTCCCTTCTACTGGTGGGACTGGCAAGGACTAAGCTTGGAAGGGAACTGAGCTCCAGGTGGATGGGGGCCCTGACAGAGGCCCTGGCAGCCAGCTTTGCTCCTGCTAATGTCTTCTTTGGCTCCTGCAGCCTGCTTCTTGGCTATGTTTTGGGGACACAGCTGTCCCCTACCCTGCAGTCTGGCAGGCTTCAGAGCTGCATGTCTCATCTAGGAGTGTTACTTCGTCTCAGCTGATCAATCCACCTGGGAAAACTCACTTTTCCAGGTCTGTCCTGGTTGGAAGTGGAGGGGCAAGAAGGTGCTCAAAGCAAAGAGGCATCCATCTTCCAGTGCTGGAAGCATCTTGGCTTTGGGATGCTCTATGGGTTGAGTCTCCATGGTCGGACTTCAGTCCTTACTCTCCACAGCTCTGTCTGCTGCTTCCCTAGGGTCTACTGGAAGTTCTGACCTGAGATGCAAGCTGAGTCTACCCCTACCAGTCCTCATTCATGAAGTCCTTACTACCCAGTCCCACCGCTCCTGCCCAGTCCTTCTTACCTGCCCTGTATCATCCTTTCCCCAGGACTGTCCTCCACCATAGCCACTTCCTGCTCTCCTCATCTTCCTGCTTACTTACTGTATCTGTTCATCCTACATGGCCAGGGGAGCTTCTGGACACCATGGACCTCACCAGCTTTAGAGCCTTGCATGGCTCCCTGATTCTCTGGAAGAAGGTCCAGCTCTTCATCCTGGCATTTGAAGCTCCACATGAACTGCCTTGAGAGCCCCATTGGCCCTTCCCCCTCTGCACTTCTATGTTTCAGGACCCTTCATGATTCCTAGAGCATACCCAATGTCCCCCCTTTCCGTCCACTCATCATCCCTCCTTGTCCATATGTCTAAACCAATCTGGGCCTCCAGGGCAGGTCTCTTCGTGGGACCTTCTCTTACTGGTGGCCTGGTCATCTGTTCCTAGTCTTACTGCTCCTCAGTAAGGGTCAAGATTTTTTTGAGGGGGGGTTGAGACAGGGTTTCTCTGTGTAACAGCTCTGTAGATCAGGCTGTCATGGAACTCACAGAGATCTATCTGCCTCTGCCTCCCAAGTGCTGGGATTAAAGGGGTATGCGATCACCATCTGGATGGGTCAATTTATTTGATCCTGACATTATTCTCTCTCTCTTTCCCCCATCTCTGTGTGTGTGTGTGTTGATTTTTTTTTGAGACAGGGTTTCTCTGTGTAGCCCTGGCTGTCCTGGAACTCCCTCTGTAGACCAGGTTTCCTTGTACTCAGAGATCTGCCTGCTTCTGCCTCAGGAATACTAGGATTAAACACACGTGCAACTCTACCTAGTTTGATTCTGACCTCACAGCTCCAGCTAGTGAATTCTAGCAGGGCTCGGGCCTGGTCCTGTCCTTCTCAGCACTCTAGCCCCATGTGCTGCATCAGGGTTGTGGGAGGAAGGTGGGCGTAAGGTGGGAGTTGGTCACTGCTTGCTGAGAGGGCAGTTGAAGGACAATTGTTTGTATACATTTGTTTATTCAGTCCTAGTTCAAATGTTACTTACCTTCTATCTGGGAGAAACAGACTTCAAGAAAGAGACATGCGGAAAAGCAGGCTGTAGTGGAGCAGCCCTGGCATCAGCACGCTGAGACAGGGGCAGTTCCAGGCCTGGCTGGGCTGTAGACCAAGACCCCATCTCAAAGAAAGCAAGTAAACAAACAGATACATAAATCAACATTCTATGCTGTTTCAAGGGATTATAAATACATAGAAATATTATGGAGTTGGGGAGGGAAATAGTGAGTGCCTGTTGATGAGAGGAGACTTCAGTTCTATATAGAGAGGTTAAAGGCTCACTGAGAAGGTGCTGTGGCTTCTATTCCTCCTTCTTATAGTTGCCGGAATAAAGGAGTGAACTGTATAGAATTTGGGAGAACAGAGTTCTAGGAATAGGGAATAATAACAATGAAGGGCCTGAGTTTGGCATGTAACTGGAGGGTCTGAGGAATGGCAAGGGGACCAATCATTTCTTGTGTTGCTAGATGTGACGTGGTAGCATTCTGCTGAAGATTTCTGAGCTGGGCGATGATGGTGCACACCTTTAATC